CACCTGTAGTCCCAGCTACTCGGGAGGCTGAGGCAGGAGAATGGCGTGAACCCGGGAGGCGGAGCTTGCAGTGAGCCGAGATCCGGCCACCGCACTCCAGCCTGGGCGACAGAGCGAGACTCCGTCTCAAAAAATAAATAAATAAAAATAAATAAAAATAAAAAATTTTATATGAATAGTATGAGGAAAATATGTCAACCTACTCAAAGCTTTCTTTAATTGTTCCTCAATTCTGAGTGGACCTGAGCTTCCAGCTGAGAGTTTTAATTCTTCTGAGGTCCCAGAAGAAGTATACAAGATCCAGTTTATAACTTTGAGCAACTTTTTAAAAACTCCTACTTCCTTTATTTTTTATTTTTCCTGAATTTTTCAGACCAAAATTGGCCTAAATCTTTTCTTTCTTCTCATCCTCAATTTCCCACCCACACTCTCTGAGAGGCCCCAAATATTTACTTGTTTTCTCCCTGCTCCTTCTGCCCTCTCTCTTTTCTCATCTGGACCAATCAGCCCTCTCCAATGTAAACCCTCCATTTTAGCATCTCCTTCTACCTCACCCAGCTGACTAATCCTATCCATAAAAGGAAGGCAAAGTTATCTCCAAATTTTACCTTAGGATATTGGCGGGGGAGGGGTGGGGGGCCTTACATTTATATCCAAATTTATTTAAGTCTTCGTTTACACGTGGCTTAGTAATACCATCTGACCTTCAAGTGATCCAAATGTGTCTTTTGCATGTGAAGACCATCTCTCTTTATTTACCAGCCAGTATAGCTAAAGTCATAATATTTATTGCCAATTTCATCCTCAACACCCTCAGGCACTGAAAGAGCAGGATCTGGAGACAGGGTGGGCATTTAGACTATAACCTGATTTTTTTGTTATAAAAACTCAAAATGTAAAATATCTTGAGGATAACTCAAAAATCTTCAAGACTGCATAGCAGTGTAAGAAACTCAGGTGCCCGCCTCCTACTGGAAACATTTTCCACTCCAGCTTAGAGTGATTTCCCACCTCTTTGCTTACACTTTACTCTTTTAACCATAAATTGCTTGTAGTTGTTAATGACTTTCTCTCTCCCCAGCTAAATCTAAATATGTAGATTTTTGAGCTCAGAAAGCATTTCTTTCTCTCTTTCTCTCTCTTGCCCTTTGTATCTCTCTATAATGGCCCCGGAGCTTGGAGTCAACAACAATTACAAATTGACAATAAGTCAGAAGAGAAACAGAAGAAATGTGTCAGGAGATTTTGGGGTTTTCTGATAACAGAGCAGGAGGAGAGGAATGAGGCAGGTGTCCTGGTAGCTAGTTGGACTCAATGGGTGGACAGCACTGCAGCAGGCAGCTGGGGGAACCCTCCTCATCATCCTGCCTGTGGCTCCTCTAAGCTTCCGATTTCCTTAACAACGAATCTAACTGAGAGGAAAATGCCAAGGCATAACCCAACATGACAATTTAACTCTACATAGAATTTTCTTTTTGTTTTTTTTTTTTTCCTGTCTCACCAAGAACTGTCATTAAGAAATACACAAGAAAACAGATCTTCTCTCTTACTTCTTGCCCCATCTTCAAAGCAGAGGAACCATTTCTGGTGCAGAAAAGCCTCTGATGCTGCTTTTATGAAGGAACATAATGCTAGTTTGGAGATCACACAATTGTAGACCTCTTTCCTCCGGCTGGGAAATATACTGAAGAACAGAAGATACAGTACATTCCAGACAAGGTCCGAGTCCTTTATCCATCCAGAAACTCTCGCAGCTTGAATCCCTGTCCTGTATTGTGAAGGGTCACAGAAACTTTCTGCATTAATTATGTATGAGGAACCCTGGAGAGGGATTGAGCCAATAGCCAGATGCAGAAACACTGTCCCAGACCCCTCCCCTAGCAGGAGCAGAGACCCTGAGGGAGACACTTAAGACTGTCCTCAATTTCAGTGCAGCCACACACAGCAGGGAATGTGAATAAGGGAGGAGGAAGATCAAAGTGCAGGAGATGAACCAGGGAAGAAGCCGAGAAAAATAGAGAGGGGGATAAAAGAGAGAGGAGGGCAAAGGAGTGTGAGGGAGAAGAGAAGCAGGAGGGAGACAGGCGGGGACAGAAAGAGACAGGGACGCGGTCAGTAATGAGGTGGTTCGTCCCTGTTTCATTTCTTCTCCTTGATAGTTAAACGTTTTCCTTCGGAGTGTGCGCCTTCCCCACTGAAGTGGGTGGGGTGGCACTGGGGGTGAGCAGGCTGCGGCGGTACTGCTGCCCCCGGGGCTCTGGGTTCTGGTCCTCAGTGGACCCTCACTGTGTCCTAGGCTGACTTCTCTGAAGTCCGGGCACTTTAAAGTATCCGCTCCAGTCAGCTCAGCTATTTCAACTAAATCCATTTCCATCAAATTATCACTTCTAGCAGTGATAGAAAAATTAATGATTTCTTGAAGGGACTATTGTATTTAAATATTTCAAGCCTGTTGGTGTGATATGTGTCAACAAGAGAGAAACATATTGACTAGGAGCTGCAGCTAATGACGGCTTTTATAAATATCCTGTCAGATAAATAATGGCTCTCAATGGATCCAATATGATGTACAGTTCTAAAGCAAGCAGGGTTTTGCCAAGAGGCTCAAAGGAAACTGCCATCACAATAGCATGGGCTGAATAATGGGATTTTCGGTTACCTTTCCGACCACAGAAAGGAGCAGCGGAGAGGGTGACTCAGCAGGCATCAAGGAGAAAGTGGATTGATTCATCAGATTCCACAAAGGGCCCAAAAAAACCCTAGCTGAGAGCCTCCAGAATACCAAAGAACATTTGCATTTGAATCCATTTGACAAATGAGCAGCCAACTTGAAGCACCCACCAGAGGGTTGCTCTTGCTGGGACAAGCAGACAGCTCCTCTTGGCTGGCAAGAGCTGCGGGTCATGCAGGAAAAGTCCTGGGGTCTGGGTAGCTCCAATAGGACTGATGCTGTTGTGACTGGGCAGTGAACATGGTCTAACCAGCCACTTAATGACCCACTATCCCTCTTTCCTCTTCTCCTTTCCGTTACTTGCCTTTTTGTCCATTTTGCTTTGTATCAGAAAACAAATCTAATTGGGGAAACATGAACAAATTGTCATTTTGCTTCCTGTGAAGAGTTCCAACAAATATTAGGTAAGGACTGGGTGGGTGGAAGGAAGAAAATTGCTGGATGGAGAGAAGATGCTGTTATTGTGGGTGTCAGTGATCCATAGATTGTTGGGAACTGACCTAGTACTCTACTCTGTCATGCCCGTTATGCATCTTCAAAAGGTATTTAAGGATGAGAAGTTAAAGGACTTTAAAATTCCAAACAATCCCATTTTAAAGTGAAACACTCACTTATCCAGGATTCTTCTGACCTACTCTGGGTTTTCATTTTGTCTTCTCTTTAAAGCAATGAGAATCTCTGCTTTTTAACAGATAAATAGAGTTGAAAGAATAATTAAAATGTGAAGCAAAAAATACCCTACCATGTTTCACAGGAGGATATGGCAAAAAAGGAACCATGCAAATCAACAGAAATTCAAAAGACCTTATCTCAACTGGAATGTTTTTGGTAACAAGTTAAAACACCTTTTAAAAAATGAAAGTTCAAAGTGTTAGTGTACCGCCACTATAGTAAGTTTCCTCATGTAAATTAGATATCTCCAAGTTCCTGCTAACGTTCTATGTAGGCTTTTAGTGATGGGGAAGAGAAACCAACTTCATGCACATTTCCTGGATATGCTTTTGGTTGAACCAAGAGAAACACTTTTTTCACCTCCCCAAACATTGTAACCTTTAGTTTATAAAATTACTGTAGCATCACTGTGTATCAGTTTATATTTACAACGTCTTCTGTGAGTGGGCTCTGGCAAGAGGTGTGGCCTTTGCACGGCCTACCAGAGACACAGAGAGCCACTCTGCTGCTTGCCCCAGGCACAGTCACACTGTGGAGCCTGAAGCTCTAGAGGACTCTTCTACCCTGTACAGGTGATGCAGCATAAACCCTGGGGTCTCAGTCCCAGGGAAACTTTGACAGCCTTCAGATGAGAAATATGAGGGATGTATTACTTGCCTTTGTATTTCAGGTTTATAAAGGAAATGGCCTCAAATAACAACCAACCAAATGGCCCCATGCCTCCTAGGAGTTCAGCTCCTCCTGTTTCCAGAAAGGGGTCCCAATCCAGACCCCAAGAGAGGGTTCTTGGATCTCACACAAGAAAGAATTCAGGGCGAGTCCACAATGCAAAGCAAAAGCAAGCTTATTAAGAAAATAAAGTGTTGAAAGACATCTATTCTGTAGACAGAGTAGGGCATTCCCAAAAGTAAGAGGAGGAATGTGTCCACCCTAGGTACAACGCTTGTTTATATATAGGATAAAGAAAAGATCATGGGGAGATGTGCTCTGCTACAAGGGTTTGTGATAAACGATTTATTTTCTTCATTATTATATTTTGCAAGAATCGATATTATTATTCTTAAAGCAAAATTAGGAATGCTTATGTTCAAGATATCGGGATATCAGTACACTCCTAAATCTGAGTCTGTTTAGTAAATCTTATCAATCTGTTCCCTTAACTGCAAACACCTAGAGGCTAGCCATACCTAATTTTCTGGGAATGCAGCCTAGAAAGTCCCAGCCTCATTTTCCTAGTCCTCACTCAAGATGGAGTTGCTCTGCTTTGAATACCTCTGACACTGGGACGTGGTTTTTAAAGTTAAAAAAACATGCAAAAAAGCAAACAGAACTGGTTTAGACTTTCTTCAGGGCCTCAACTCATCTGTCTGAATTGAGCCCAGAAACCTGAAAGCTGGGCATTGCCTTAAAACCTTTAGTTATTCGCATTGGTGACTCCTGATTGTCCCCTCACACAGACAGCCAAAATATCCTCCCATCTTCCACCAAGTTATTCTTTCAAATTCTCACTGTTCATCTTGCAGACATGAGGTTGTTGTATCCTAGGAAAGAATGTCAGCCTCTTGCATCCCCTACAATTGGTGAGAAGAGCACTGACCTCAATAGCATGAGAAGACCTGGATTCTGATGCGAGCTCCACTAGCAGCCTGCTCTCCCGACTCCTCAGTGATCATTTTTCTATGTACTCTGGAGCTGATACCTACTCAGTCTTCCCGCTTTGCCTTTGAGGACTTTAGATGAGCAAAATGCAAGAGACATTCCTATGAAAGGTATGTGGCATCATGCAATGTGTGGTATTTATAATCCTTTTATCCACTCGGCCTTGTCACCCTTACAAAGACAATACATCTCACCTTGGTGCCCAACTGCCTTTTGCTTCTCAGTGCTAGAGGTGCCACTGCTCTCTATAACCATACTTCTCTTCCTTTTCATTCTCTGCTCATTGGTACATTTCTAAATGGAGGCAATTTCTGTACAGTTACATTGTAAGGAGGAAAGCTTTTCTTCCAAAAGTTATGGAAAGATCAGCTCTAAGTGAGGGCAGTGCCATTCATTCATTAAACCACTTTTTACGGAGTGGGTGCTGTGAGCCCACCACTATGCTATTATGCACTTGAATTCAGCAGTGAACAGCACAGGCAAGGTCCCTGCTCTTGTGAAACTTATATCTTGATTTGAGGGGAGGACAAGAGAGAAATAGAGAGTAGAAAAGAAAACAAAACAAAAGAAAAGAAAAAACCAGATAACCACACATTGTGGTGAGAACTTTATGTAGAGTTCTGATACAAGTCCCAAATAGGTCACAACTTTGGGGAGGGGGAAACACCAACACGCACATAATAAATTCCCTGTCAATCTGCAATCGACCTGGAAAACTGCACTCCTCAAAAAGTGACTTCATGTGGGTTCCTTTTGAATGGGCAGAGGAATGTTCTGCTTGTGATCACATAACCCAGTGAGTGAAAAGTCACCTGGCAGTGAAGAGACCTGTGTCTTCATATCTGAAATGCCGAAAAGTAGGGTTTAATATGTTGTTTTCATTTTAATTACATTTTTGTTCATCCACAAGTATATAAGCTAAGAAAGTAATAAGGATGAAAAATGCATTATTTATCCTATTTCCATGATTCCATCCTCTTTCCTAAAGACCTTCCCCAATTTTTCTATCAGACTTTAAGAATATCAAAATAAAGTTTTTGAAGGGTTGTTTCCTTTTGTTAAGTTTTCTATGTCTTTATAGCTCTCAAAGTATTTCATCTTTTTTCTCAAAACATTTGCAAGCCTTGCTATCACCCACTAATGACCTATTTCAGACTCTTATTTCCCTCTGAAGGGATTTCCTATATTCTTTATTGCAATTCCTCTGATATGACATTATATTCTAATTGGAATAACCACTCCAACACTTCCTTTACCCTCAACCCCTAAACTGCAAATGATACCCCAGTATCCTGACCCCTAACTTCAAAAATACTTTCCTACTTCATCCTCATCCCGTATTATGTATATCTGCTTCTCTTTTTTATTCTCCAAGATGTGGCTGCCAATTGGCAGCAGATCCAGGAACAGCAGCAGGCTATTCACATCGTCAGTTCTGTATCCTGCTCAGTTTTCCTTCAGCCCATGCCTTCAGCCATAGGCATCGTCCCCAAAGTGAGCAATAGCTATTTTGGAAACCTTTTCCATACCAGCAGGCAGGCCTTTGAGGCTGTAAAAGGAAAGCATCGGAAAAGGCGAAAATCCTCCCTCACAGTTTTCAGCAGGAAACAAAATGTCTCCAAAACCATGCAGCCACACTGTGGTCTGACAAAGACAGCAGGAAGAAGCACCCCCACACCTCCAGCCATACTCCACTGTGAAGCAAGATTTCCTTTCACAGCAGCTGTGGATGGCATCGTGAAACCTCACATCATCGTGAGCACAGAACAAATGTTTTATTCTCAAATAAAATAAGAGGAACTTAAAGTATTCCAAATCACAGCTTTAAAAATGTAATTGTGAGACCTTTTGACAAGGTCTCAGCCCATCTTTCCAGCATTACCATCCACAGCACTCCTTCATGCATGGCAGATTCCTAAAAAAACACTGGAGCATCATTCCCTCAACAAACCCGGCACTTTCCAACCTCTGAGCTTCTGCTCTCCAAGTCCTTTCTCTTAGACTGTTCTTCATTCTCTGCCCTCATTTGAAGCTTTTTCAACTGCTGCCTCCCAAATGAATTTTCTCTCATCTCAAGACAAATTCTGTCCCCCCCTTGTTTGTGCTCTCCTAACACAGTATTTACAGATCTACAATAAAATTGGTCACATTCTGTCTTATGTCAAAGCTGTTGACTATAAACTCATAACAGGTTAAGTCCTGGGTCTCAATGATCCTGGTTTTCCATCTAGTGTCTAGCTTACGTAATAGGCAATATTGAAACATGTGTTAAATATAAGTGATCATAAATAATGACATTTCCTCAGTGATAGATTGTAGAGGTAATGAAGCTTCTCTTGTGAACATGTGATTGTCTCTTCTCTCTTGTGTGCTGCTGAGATGCTGGATAGAGTAACTGGTACGTAGCAATAATTCTCATATTTTTGCAATTATGGGGGAGGAAGAGGAAGATGATGATGATATGAAAAAGGGAAAAAGAGAGGTGACCCCTATGGTGGTTTAAAGATGGCCACAAAATTTTGATAGTCCTCCCATGAAGAGGTGGGCTCTCAGTGCCCTTTTCTTGAAAGTGAGTGGACTCTGGAACTCCCTTCACCTACGAAGTAAGGTGAAAGTAACACCAGGCCAGTTTCCAAGTCAAGATGTTATGACACTGGCAGCTTCCACTGCCGGCCTCTTGGAACACTCATACTTGGAACCCAGTTGCCACACTGTGGATGCTCAAGTAGCCCAAGGAGAAGCCTATGTAGAAATGAATCAAGAGTCGAATCCAACAGCCCCAACTGTACCTCCAGTTAACAGCCAGCAACAATTTGCCAATCATATGTGTCAGCCCTGTTGGAAGTGGCTCCTCCAGCCCCAGATGGACCACCCTAGCCTGACACCATGAGAGCAGACAAGCCATACCTCCAAAACCCTACCTATGCAATTCATGAGCAAATCAAATGAGTGTTGTTATTTCAAGCCATTAAGTCTTGGAATCATTTATTTAAAAGCATTTAATAACTGGGACAGCCACTTAGCTGACTTTCTTTTTGTCCTTTCAGATAAGCCCCACATTTTAAACATCTAAAAAATTTCCCAAATTTTTCAATATTCAGAATATTTCAGCTTGGCCAGTTGATGAACGAGCTACTCTTTTTGAGTGAATTATAAGCTATGTATGGTGTTTAAAACCACACCAAAAAATCTCTCTGGGTGAGAGATGAACCTGAGTAGGATGTAGGCCTCCCACTCCACTCCAGCTAAAGCTGCTCCTCTTCCATCTGTTTTCATGTCATGAATTCCCCTTAAAAATCCATTGGAACAAAAGATCCTATAGCAGCAAAATGTACAAAAGGTGCTCTTCTAAAGTATTAGGCCCAGTAAATGTGACTCTGTGCCCCCTGCTAGTAGCTCGGATTACTTTCACAAAACAATGAAACAACCACTTAAATCATCTTCCTTTTATAGGCAAAACTAAACTGAAACCCTAGTTACATTTTCTACAACCTCTCATATGCTGGGCACTTTTGCTTCTGCCTGGGATACCTGGTACATGAAAGGTAACTCCTGTTGCTTTCAGAAGCTCCGTCTATTCGCAGCAAAGCAGTGACACCTGCTTGGAAAAATTCCTCCCAGGAGTCATGGATGACATTTCTGGGAAAGATCCCAGAATGGCACGTTGGAAATTAATAAGCGTACCAAGCAAATGGCTCCTGTGGAAGCTGTACCCTCTTGTTCATTCAGCAGAATTGTATTGTCAGTGTAATGACCTACCTGTCTCCCTGGACCACTACTACTGACTGCTGAAGCCATTTGACATTCTTTCTTATAGGTTGAGGCTTGCTTTAGACACTAGGACCCCATATATCCCTAGTCAGGGGTAATTTAGGGACATACAAGTCAGAAATACAAGTGTTTGGGATGGAATGTGACCTTGGTAGTTCCAGTCTGACTTTCTGATTGGATTCTAGTAACTGAACATGACCTTCCTCCCTTGACCAGGTGCCTACATTTCTCCCCAGGTTACAACCACTACGTTCCAACCTTGCTCCCCATCGCAACAAACAGCCTTATCCTCATTTCTTCAAAACCAGAGCCCTGTGGTTTGTCTCGTCTTTCAGTCTGGCAGACTCCCTGACAATGATGCATGGCTTCCTGAGTCTGAGCGTCTTGCCTTTTGCCAGACCCCCCACCACCACACTCCCCCTCCCTGCAGAAGCACCACCTGTCGCCTCTTCCTTGCCCACCCTGACACTGGCACTTCTCCAGCAGTCACCACACTTTTCAGACACCACACATAACGTGCAGGGCAGGCTGCTCCCATTCACAGAAGCAGGGTCAGCCTCTCAGGGCCTACCTTGCTACAAGGGTGTGGCCTCTTCCTGAGACGTCGCTTTATCTTTTTTTCAGGACTACCAAAACAAAGTACCACAATTTGGTTGCTTAAACAAGAGAAATTTATTGTCTCACGGTCCTAGAGGCTAGAAATCCGAGATCAAGGTGTTGGCAAGGGCCGGGCACGGTGGCTCACACCTGTAATCCCAGCACTTTGGGAGGCCAAGGCGGGCGGATCATGAGGTCAGGAGATCGAGACCAACCTGGCTAACATGGAAAACCCCGTCTCTACTAAAAATACAAAAAATTAGCCGGTCGTAGTAGCGGGTGCCTGTAGTCCCAGCTACTCGGGAGGTTGAGGCAGGAGAATGGCGTGAACCCGGGAGGCAGAGCTTGCAGCGAGCCAAGATGGCACCACTGCACTCCAGCCTAGGCAACAGAGTCAGACTCAGTCTCAAAAAAAAAAGATGTTGGCAGGGTTGGTTCCTTCTGAGGGATGTGAGGGAGAATCTGCTGCAGGCCTCTGGCCTTGGCTTCTAGATGGCTGTCTGATCCCTATGTCTCTTCACATCATCTTCCCTCTCTGCATGTGTATCCACATTTCCACTTTTTATGCGAACACATTGAATTAGAGCCCACCATAATAATCTAACTTTAGTTGACTTACCTCAGTGAAGACCCTGTCTCGAAATACAGTCACATTCCGAGTTCCTGGGGGTTGGGACTTCAGCATGTGAATTTGGAATGATACCATTCAGCTCATGACAGCTGCCCTCCCGCCAGTGTTCTTCATCCCACTCCCTACTTAGGTCTGAGCTTTTGAGGGTGTCAGAGCAGTGATTTTTCAGGTGAATCTCACACGTATAATGAGAGGATCCCAGTTTACATCTAAAATGTTCACTGCTAGGCCTCAAATAGGAGCCTGTCTTGCAGTCTGGTGAGGCAAACCTGCCAGGAGCTCATCTTTACCTGATATTGTTTGGATGTTTTTCCTCTCCAAATTTCATGTTGAAATGCAATCCCCAGTGCTGGAGGTGGGGCCCAGTGGGAGGTATTCGAGTCATGGAGGCGGATCCCTCGTGAATGACTTAGCACCATCCCGCTGATGACACGTGACTTCACTCTCAGTGAGTTCACACAAGATCTAGTTGTCTAAAAGAGC